AGTGAATCCCTCAGAGGAATGGACAAGAATTTAGAAGCCAAGGGTGGGGCCTTATATTTCATGGACCGGATCTGGACACCGAAACACGGTGGTTTCGAGACTTGGTCATGACCGAGGCGCACAACACTTGGTATTCCGTCCACCCAGGTTCAGATAAGATGTATCTGGATCTTAAAAAGCTATACTGGTGGCCTAATATGAAAGCAGATATTGCTACCTTCGTGAGTAAATTCCTTACTTGCGCAAAGTTTAAGGTCGAGTACCAGAAGCCCTCTGGTTTATTGCAACAACCAGAGATCCCGGAATGGAAGTGGGAGCGGATCACTATGGATTTCATAACCAAGTTGCCCAAGACAACGGTGGACTTGACACCATATGGGTCATCGTTGATAGATTGACCAAGTCTGCACACTTCCTGCCTATCAAAGAAACCGACAAGATGGAGAAACTTACGAGAACATACATTAGGGAAATCGTACGGCTACATGGTGTACCTATGTCCATTATCTCCGATAGAGATAGTAGGTTCACCTCAAGATTTTGGCAATCACTACAACATTCCCTAGGAACAAGGCTGGACATGAGCACAGCCTACCATCCTCAGACCGACGGACAGAGTGAGAGGACGATCCAGACTTTAGAAGATATGTTGCGTGCTTGTGTAATTGACTTTGGAAAAGCGTGGGATACCCATTTACCCCTCGTCGAATTTTCCTACAACAACAGTTATCACACGAGCATAAAGGCAGCACCATTTGAAGCCCTCTACGGCCGAAGTGCAGATCCCCTCTGTGCTGGGCTGAGGTGGGTGATACCCAACTAGCAAGGGGGCAAGCTTCCGACAGTACTCTTACCGGTCCGGAAATCATTCGGGAAACGACAGAGAAGATCGTTCAGATCCGTGAACGATTGAAAGCCTCTAGAGACCGACAGAAGAGCTACGCTGATAAACGAAGAAAACCTTTGGAATTTCAGGTGGGAGACCGAGTCCTTCTCAAAGTCTCACCCTGGAAGGGCTTGATACGCTTCGGTAAGCGTGGGAAGCTTAATCCTAGGTACATAGGGCCTTTCGAGATTCTTGCAAGAGTCGGCCCCGTAGCTTACAAACTCGACCTACCAGGCGCACTTCGTAACGTACATTCTACATTCCACGTATCTAACTTGAAAAAGTGTCTATCCGACGAGACTCTTGTAATCCCACTCGACGAGATCGAGATAAACGAGAGCCTCAACTTTGTGGAAGAACTAGTAGAAATCATGGACCGAGAGGTCAAACAAACCAAGCAAAGTCGCATCCCTATCGTGAAGGTCCGCTGGAATGCAAAGCGAGGACCTGAATTCACATGGAAACGCGAAGATCAGATGCAACGCAAGTACCTACATCCGTTTCCCTAATCCACAAGTGTTTTCTTACTCAAATTTCGGGACGAAATTCCCTCTAACGGGGGGATGATGTGACAACCCGATATTTCAACTCTTTGTAATGACCTAAAAAGTCAAGTATTGTAGCTACTTTTGAAATAATGAAATTAACTTCGAAGATGAAATATGTAAGAATCTTTATAAGAATATCTATTATGTTAGACATTGTGTCAAGGTTTACATAAATACTAAGAACACTAAAATCCGAGTTACAACGAAGAAATTATGACCATTCTAAGATTTCCGACAAAACCGACAACACCGATTAAACGAAAAATGCGAAGTTTCAATGCAATAGCATTTAGCCTTAGGTATCTAAATGAAAGTTATAGATAACATTAAACCGTGAGCGTACACGAAAAGAACGTCCAAATCTGACTTCGTATGAGGAAGTTATGATTTTTCCAAGATCCGAATATAGCAGTAGACAGCTAAAAACTCGAAATAGAGCTCGAGAGACTTTTGACCAAAACAACCTAAATGAGAATCGAAGGTCTCAACATTAGTAGCACAACAGCGAAAAGTCTGACGAAAACGGACATCGGATGAAGAAGTTATGGATTTTATACGGATTTTTCGTGTCCCGGCCCGTTAAAAATAAATAATTAAAAATAAATTCAAAATTTGCCAATGAAGTCTAAACGAAAGTTGTAGATCATATTTTCAGCTACGCGTGCATATAAAGAACGTCGAAAACGGAGCTCGTACGCGAAAGTTATGGATTTTACAAGTTCGGGGTCCGAAATCCGAGGCTGTCAGGCCTCTCCACGACGTGGCACTGTTTTGCCGCGACCCGGCAAGTGACTGAGGGCGTCCCATCAATGGAAGAGGATAGACTTGCTCCCCACGACGTGCCAACCCTAGCCACGACGTGGCACTCAAAAATACCCCTATAAATAGAACTCTTGGGGTGCCGGTTTAGGTGCTCCATTCTTCTCTTTCTCGCGCCGAAACTCTGCGTTTAAGCCCCCGAGACCCTCCCAAAGCCCCGGTTTTTCACCTTCAAGTCCGAAGGAAGGTTTTGTGTTCCCGAGATTCCCGAGAATCCCGAGATTTTCCGCGTTTTCAACTCTTCCTGTCGAAGTTCTGCTCGATTCTTCTCTCGACTACTTCAAATCGACCACTTCAATCAAGTGAGTTCATACCCCCTTAAATCAACCTTTGAAATGATTTTAAATGTTTAAATACTTTATGGGGGGGAATACAAGTAAATACTTATAGTTATTGCTTCGATCACATGTGATTGCATTAATCACATGTGATTAATAACTAGGAAACCAATGATTTTATCACTGTTCAAACTGTTTTACTTCAAAATGTTTTCCAAACTCTTTTACTTATCAAATGCTTTTATTTAAACTTTGTTTTACTACTTATAAATTGCATGCCCATATATGTATAGATATATAAGTAATGTTTAAAGGGCTTAGGAAGGCCATCCACCCTATTTCCTTTTCGCGCACTGAGATGTGGTCTGGTGGGATTTCGGGTGACCATCCGAGGGTCGTTTCAATATTAGATATATCATATATACATGTATAGACATAAAAGTACTTCCATATTCATGCTTATCAATACATCAATAGCTAGTTACCATCGGGGTAACACAGAACATATACACTATACTAGAAACAGTACATATACAACTATACTATGAGAACATATACAACTATACTAGAACGAGAAACATCATAACATATACAACTATACTAGAACGAGAAACATTTCATAACATATACAACTATACTAGAGCGAGAAACATTTCATTACATATACAAGAATACGATAACAATTGTGATCCACTGTATCGGAGTATGCCTTAAATGTCATGGCCCGAGTTGTAGCCAGAATTCTCTTGGAGGGAGAGCGTTGAGTTTGCGTATAGATCTATACTGGATTGACTATCCTACACCTTGCTGCTAGCTACAGCCGGACCTGCAGGTCTGCGGGTGCCAAACGTCATTCCGTTATTACGACCGTTCTTTATGTCGTTGTTATCAGTCGATAGTATGGTGCAATTATCACATTATACCTTAATATAAATCCGGTTTAAGGTAGTTAGTACAGCAGTAGTTCCTATAAAACAAAACTACAGTACTACAATGATTTACCCATTACATTTTAGTGATAACCTCACTTAAACTTAAATGTACAAACTATATTTTGTTAAATAATAGTTACACTTGGGAAATTACACACTTTTACAACAAACGAGCATACATAACAGTTAAGCCTTGGTAGAAGGCTACTTTAATAGAAAATATAGGTTTTTCTGAGAGATTCAAACTTTTACAAACAATTACATACAGTTTACAACTTATACTTACCACAGGTTCAAACGTTTTGAAAACGAACATCGACACTAAAATACTTATGAACTCACCAGCTTAATACTGACAAACTCTTTCAAAATAACTTGTATTCTCAGGTCATCAGTAGACAGGTACCGATGCCAACTTTTGAGAAGATGGAGCGCATTTCAAGACTCATCATATTATTTTGATTCGCATTATATTTTTGGTGTCTAAAACTGTAAAGAACACGCTTGTATTAAAATTATATATATTTAATGCAATGGATGATGTTGTTTGCTTATTTACATTTATTGTGTTGTGATACTTTACATGACGTCCTCCGCCCCATAACGTTTCCGCCGTTCTTGGTTTTGGGGTGTGACATGGTCCTGCATTGAGCTAAAAGCCAATATACCCTATGAGATGTCCGGGGAGACTATAGGCCCACGTGGCGGACTAGTTATGCCTAAGGCTCGAGATAGATTCAGACATACTATAGCCACGGTAGGGCGGTCCCATCAGGCTTATGGCCCAATATGCATGTTGATTGATTGATTATTATTGATATGGTATTATGTGGTATTAGTATTTTGGGGGTAGGTCACTAAGCCCTCGGGCTTACAGTTTTCAGTTTTATGTTTTAGGTACTTCAGGAGATCATGGAAAGGAGAAGGCGTGATCGTATCGCTCCTCATCCTAATGTTATGATTTTGGGACACTCCGATGGATTTGGATTTGAAAATAATTTTGTAAACAAACTTTGTTGGATTATATATGATTAAAAAAAAATTTGTCGTAAAATTTATGGATGTTACAAAGTTGTTTGCAAAGATCTTGGAAGTTCCTACTTTTGACTCTTATTATGTGGTTTCGAATTAACAAGTGCTTCATATGTTTAACGAATTGGGTTATCAACCGGTTCTTACTAAGATAAGTGATTTCTAGAAATCTTGTTCACCATGTTTATGGAATTTTCTTTTTAGAATTTATCTATGTTGCTTGACTGCTAGAAGTGTTGGATTAGATAAGGCGAAATTGGAAATATATGCCTTGGTGGCAAGTGTCTATTATGATCTTCCTGTGGATTATACAAATAAGTTGTAGGAAGAGTTTATCAAAAGTATTAGCAACACGAATGTGGTGGATGGGATATTATATGCTCGTTATTGGAGTTTGATACTACGATATACATATAAGAAGGAAGGTATTCAAGTTCATGAGGAGAAAGAAAAAGCTAAATTTTCTTTATATCACTTTCCATAAACAGTGGAAGGTGATTCAGATATGTTTCCAACTGTTCCTCAAATTCCTGTTGACATACTTCAAAAAGTTGATTCATCTCATCCAGTGTTACTGGCCTACTTGAAAACAATGGATCCTTCGATTGAAATGGGTGTTCTGTTACCTATACATGAGGTCCATCGAAAAAGCTAAAGGAATCCAATAAGGCGATTACAGGTAGTCCTTTGAAACCCAGTCTTGAGAAAGTGGAGAAAGTTGTTGAAAAAGTTGTTAAGCCTATTTCAAAGAAAGTTGTGAAGTTTGATCCACATCCGAAGAAAGTTACTAAGCCTGTTGTTGAAGAATCTTCTACACCAGTCATTGAATTTGTGCCTTTGAAATCTGGAGTCTTGAAATGTTTGAAGAAAATGGCTCATAATCCTCATCATTCTCCAGAGTGATCTAGTAGTTTCTCGACAAAAGGTATATTAAAGATTACTCACAAGCCTCAGATAAATCGGCAAGGTGTTGTCATTCACGAAATTCCAACCCTTGTGTCTCCTGTTTCTAAAAATAAAATTGCTGAGGATAAGGCGAAAAAGATTTCAAAGAAGAACAAGAGGAAGATCGTTGAAGATTCATTGGAGGAAGAGGTTGTACCAGAATTGCCTCTTCATGATACTACTATGAATGTTCCTTCACCAACGACGGATTCTCCAATCAAGACGAGTTTCGAGGAGATTGGAAATCTTGGTGGTTTTGTGAAAACATCGAATGTGGACACAACCACTACTGAAGGTGAACATGCGAAACAATCCAATCTAGAGTAGACAATTGTCATATCACTCGAAATCTCGAATGCCGAATCAGTTTCTGAGGAGGTTAGAACTTCAGGCATCCTTGTGGACATATCTAATATGGACACAAATATCAACAAGGGTGAAGGAGTGTTGAATCCAAAAGTCCAAGGTAATCATAATATCATTATCTTATCTTCTTTCAAAACATCCACAGTTGATACTTCCACATCACTTCCACCATTTCACTCAACCATTTCTACTTCTACCCACTCAGCTACTTTTGATAACATCCTTAATCAACCTGTCATTTCATTGTTTCCAACTCAATCTACTAATCCCAAAACTTTTCAAGAGGATGAAAATGAAGATAGTGAGTTTATGGGCACTTTCACATATATTGAATTTGATCTGGAAGAAGAAAATATTCCCGATCATATGTTGATGTCTGGGAAACAATTTAAAATCCACAACTAAAAGCTTAACTCTTTGTTACTGCTTCAAGCAGATATAGGGGTAAGAATTATGTATCTAGTATCGAAGTTGATGTCATACTAAAGGCTCAAGAACTTTGGTTAAGGAATGAGTTGGAGCAGTTGGATCGGAATAATGAGAATCGTGTTAAAGCTCAATCTTCAACCTTTAATGATGCACTCAAATAATTGAAGTCTATTACTCGGGAAAGGCATGTTTTGTTTATGAAGGATGTGAAAATGCTTTGTGAAAATTTGAATTTGAAGATTGAAGAGTTGGGAGAGGATATGGCGAAGGAGATTTCAGCATTAGATAACAATTATTCTTCTCTTCACAAGAAGGTTGATATAATTGCTGATACTATAACGAAAGTTCTTGAATGGTATAATTCTCTGCTTTCGAATGTTGAAAAGATGGCAGAAGATGAAGTTAAAAGTTTTGGAAATATTGACAAAGTGTTGACTGAGTTAAAGGGGTTAGTTTTGAAGTCTGGGTTTGTCTCATCTTTGTTGATTTCTCCAAAGCTTCTGTCTGAGAAGTTTAAATTGTTGGAGTTAACTATCCAAAAGGAACTTGCACAACTTACAAAGCTCATCAACTTAATGCCAACTAGTGCATTGCCTGTTCACACAGGGGTGAAAGCAGAAGAAAAGGGTGGTGTTGGCATTGGAACAAAAGTAGGTACCGGAGGAAGTGGTTTGGGAAAAACTAATGATGATGCTGAAGTTTTTGGGATGGTTTTGACTACTTCAATTTCAACCTCACTACCAAATACATCCATAATAACAACATCAAAAACAACAACAACAAAACCAATAACAAAAGGCATAGTGATTGGATATGCTGGTTGAGGGTCAAGTTCTTCGAAACCACTTCCTTCCACTGATGAAATGCATGATATGGTCTCTAGTCAAGATATTTCGTGTTCTCAATATATCCAAAGATATTTATTTGAGGGTATGTTGCAGAATTACTGATACCATGCAATCCGAGCCAACAATGTTGCATTTGATTTCTCGGTTGCATGCTTAATGTTAATGAATCTTCATGATTTGATATGTATTGTGACGATTTTAAAGATTGTTGATGTATCGAAGCTCCAAGTGATGAACAAAGAAGATTTCTTAATAGGTTTTGCACACTTAAAGGTGTTTATTGATGGATACTATGGTTCTTTGGCACTGACAGGTTTTGAGCTAGCTTTGACATTGGGAAAACATGTCACAGTTCCCCAATCCATGTTAAAAAGTCAGGCTACTTTGAAAAACTTTGAAGATGGTGAGATCTGCTTGAAACCACTGGGAATTGTGTTTATTAGAAAGAACAAGAAGGGAAACAACACAAAATTCCTGTTTCAAGTATGTGATGTTGAGAGGTATACTATGCCTCATTATACAAATCTCATGGTTTAAATGAACAGTTGTGCCAAGAACAAGGAGAAAGATGATGGGTTTTGAGCATTCTAACACTTCCTAAGTGTACATGCAACCCTAATAAACCTTGGATCTATGTTTGTCTAAGATACATGCAAATAATTATTTTCCAAGGTTCATATCCTAACTAGCACGGCATGGGGAACATGAATCAAATAAAGCTAGTAGAATTACTTACCTTGTAGTAGTAGTTGATTGCTTGGAGTTTTAGAGCCTAGCACCAATAGTGTGAATGCCTCAAATGGAAATCACCAAATCACCACAAACTTGGAACTTTGAGAGAATAGTCACTATTATCTTGAAATCGGCCCTCACCTCAACAAGTGTCAACTAGTGTGATTTCAAGAACCAAAGCCTCCTTTATATAGTGTGGTGGATTGGGGTTACATCCTTGTAAACCCTAATACCCATGTCTCTTCATTTCCATGAGATCCATGGGTTAAAGCTCCATGGAGTATCCATGGACTTTTCCATGCAAGCCTAGCCCATTCCAAATAAGCATTAGCCCACACTATATAAATATAGAAGCCCATATTTAATTAGTAATATCTTTGATGTCTAAATTAATCCTAGATTAATTGTAGATCAATACTAATTAAATAATATGATCTTATATTAATATATTAGAACTTATAATATATTAATAAATCATAACTTGTACTATTCTCAAATATTATCCATAAATTGTTCGGGTGAAGTGCAACCCAAATGGACCATGCCGGGTCGGGTCAAGTACATACCAAATATAGTTATGGACTTAGACACTATATCCAAAAGCCTCCCACTTGGATAAGTCTAATAACTATAGTTGCAAGTATGAATTTAGGAACCGATCAGCAATCGTAGCTCTTTAAACTCTATTGAACTAGAACGCGCCATTTTAGATAAGTGATCATATAATCCTCTGCTCAAGATATTAGCCGGACAAATAAATGGAACATGGTCTTACTTATTGTCCAACATTTGTTTCCCGATTTCCGATTTGTTTGACATAGAACTTAACTGAACACATCAATTTAGTTCTGATCGTGCCTGGTACATACGTCAAAACACAATCATCGAGGGGCCCCGATATCAGCTTCTAATCCTAGAAGGAACAGATAAACTTCGACTCATATGCTTGTTCTACCACTCATTGAATTATACACAAAGGCACGTTTTATAACATCGAGTTACTAATGCGTTTTCGTACAATCAATGCATAATCAACTTGTAAGTAACAAATCATATCTCTAGGTTTGAAGACTTATATGATATTATCGTCTCACGATCACACGAGATAAAATTCCATGAAGTGCTTCCAGTGAGTGTGGGTTGACTCCAATGCTCAGAACTTATGAGCACTCATGATTGTTGTAGCCATGTCCAACACCATAGACCTCTACAACCAATCATGACAATCTTGATTCATACCTACTTCCGACATATGACTGACTGTGGAGGTTTGAATAATATGATATACCAAACATAATTATTCTGGAAGTCAAAACATGCAAAAGAAATATAGTAAATGATTGACAAGAGATAGCAACACTTTACTCATAAATAAAACACCTTTTATTCATCCTCTAATGTCAATTACACTTTACAAATTTCATAATTTATCTAACTACTAAAACTTATATCATCCTTCAGCCCTATGCTCCGAGCATGCTGGAGATGCTTAACCTTACTCAGTCCCTTCGTAAGGGGATCTGCTGGGTTCTCATCTGATGATACCCTCTTTGCCACAAGGATTCCTTCTTCTATTCGATGTCTGATGAAGTAATGTTTTCTATCAATGTGTCTAGATCTCCCATGATCTCTTGGTTCCTTGGCTAAGGCAACCGCACTATTGCTATCACAGAAAATCTCCATTGGCTCCTTTATAGGTGGTACAACTCCAAGGTCTCCGATGAAGTTCTTTAGCCATATAGCCTCCTTTGCTGCTATATACTCTGATTCACAAGTGGAATCAGCCATGGTCTCCTACTTGGAACTATTCCAAGTGATTGCTCCTCCGTTTAAGGTAAAGACCTAGCCCGACTGTGAGCGGAAATTATCCCTATCAGTCTGGAAGCTAACATCACTATACCCTACAACTCTCAAGTCATCACTTCCACCGAAGGTAAGGACCCAGTCCTTAGTCCTTCGCATGTACTTAAGGATATTCTTTACCGCAGTCCAGTGTTCCTTTCCAGGGTTCCCCTGATACCTATTAATCATGCTCAAAGCAAAGGCTACATCAGGTCGAGTACACATCATAGCATACATGATCGATCCTACAGCTGAAACATAAGATAGTCGACTTATTTCTGCTATCTCAGCCTCATTACTAGGGCTTTGTGTCTTACTCAATCTGGCGTTACTTTGAATGGGTAACTCACCTTTCTTGGAGTTATGCATGTTGAATGTTTTCAATACCTTGTCCACATAGGTGCTTTCACTATGTCCAATTAGTCTTTTACTCTTATTTCTAAAAATCCTTATCCCTAGGATATAGGCAGCTTCACCAAGGTCCTTTATAGCGAAACACTTCCCAAGCCAGGACTTTACTTCCTGCAGGGTTGGGATGTCATTTCCTATGACTTGTATGTCATCCACATACAATACCAAAAAGCTGACTATACTCCCACTAGCCTTGACATAAATACAAGATTCATCTTCACTCCTAGAAAAGCCAAATTCCATGACCTTTTCATCAAAGGAAAGATTCCATCTGCGAGGTGCTTGCTTTAATCCACAAATGGATTTCTCAAGCTTACACACTCTATTAGGGTATTTGTTGCTGACGAAATCTTTTGGATGACTCATGTAAACATCTTCAGTCAACTTCGAATTAAGGAAAGCGGTTTTGACATCCATTTGCCAAATTTCATAGTCATGAAATGCAACTATGGCTAACATAACCCTAATAGACGTAATCTTGGCTACTGGAGAAAAGGTCTCATCATAATCCACTCCAGGAATTTGAGAGAAGCCCTTTGCAACTAGTCGAGCCTTATAAGTGTGTACATTACCATCCATGTCGGTCTTCTTCTTGAAGATCCATTTGCACCCTACAGTCTTACGACTTGGTACATTCTCAACCAAGTTCCAAACTTGATTTTCATACATGGAATATATCTCGCTATCCATAGCCTCTTTCCATTTAGCAGACTCGGGGCCTACCATGGATTCCTCGTAGCTGTTAGGGTCATCCAGACCTACTAGTGTCCTATCACTAATAAGTGTCTCACCTTCTGTAGTAATATGGAAACCATAGTAATGCTCAGGTGCATACCTAACTCTCGTGGAACGCCTCAGAGGTACAGATTCGTCAATTGGCTCAACAGGAGTTTCCTCCTCAAGTTGAGGGCTAGCGTTTCAAGTTCCTTCACCACTTGACTCTTGAATTTCTTCAAGATCAATTTGCCTCCCACTGTCTCCTTGGCTTATAAACTCCCTATCTCGAAAGACACTTCTTCTTGCTACAAAGATCACATTATCACTAGGTCTGTAGAAGAGGTAACCAAAGGATCTTCGTGGGTAGCCGATGAAAATATACCTCTCGCTTCGGGGTTCTTGCTTATCATGAGAATCACGCCTCACAAAATCCTTGCAACCCCAAATCTTGATGTGGTCTAGTTTAGGTACTTTACCAGTCCACATCTCGTGAGGAGTTTTGGCAACTTTCTTTGTAGGGACTAGATTAAGGATATGGGCGGAAGTCTGTAAGGCATACCCCCAAAATGAGATTGGTAGCGAAGCTCGACTCATCATGCAACGAACCATGTCCAATAAGGTTCGATTACGCCTCTCAGCTACACCATTCAACTGTGGTGTCCTGAGAGGTGTCAATTGTGAGACAATCCCACATTCCCTAAGATAGTCGAGGAACTCTGAACTAAGATACTCACCACCTCGATCGGATCGAAGCATCTTAATGTTCCTGCCCAATTGATTCTCGACTTCCTGTTTAAATTCCTTAAACCTTTCGAAAGTCTCTGACCTATGCTTGATTAAGTATACATATCCATATCTACTATAATCATCAGTAAAAGTCAAATAATAATGATTAGCATCCCTTGTAGCATGTTTAAATGGTCCACACACATCCGTGTGTACACGATCCAACAAACCTTCACCCCTTTCACAAGAACCTGTGAAGGGTGACTTTGTCATTTTTCCAAGTAAGCATGATTCGCAACTATCATCCGACTTTAGGTCAAACGACTCCAAGACTCCATCCTTTTGGAGTTGGCCTATGCGTTTCTTACTTAAATGTCCAAGACGACAATGTCATAGTGATGCTTTATCCCAGTTATTATTATTAAAAGAATCAATACACAATACATTATTTCCTAAGTAATCAACCACAGATACTGTTTCATACACGCCATCACAAGGTAATGCTTTAAAATAAAGAACATTATTAAAGAAAGCATCAATAGAACCAACTTCATTATTAAATGAAAAGGTAAACCTTTGTTTATACAATGCATGAAAGGAAATAATATTTCTTGCCATTTCTGTAGAATAACAACATTTATTCAAATCGAAATTTAAACGGTTACTTAGCGACAAAGTATAAACTCCAATCTTGGTGATAGGTGTAACTTTCCTATTCCCCATGATTAAGTTTATCCTTCCTTGCTCCACATTCTCACTTCTTCTTAGTCCCTGTAAATCAGAATAGATATGAATACCACAACCGGTATCAAGGACCCAAGATTTAGAATGGCGTGAGTTATTAGAAATTATAGTGTAAACACCTGCATGGTTGGGTTTAACTTTCCCATCCTTCACATCTTGTTGGTACTTTGGGCAGTTCCACTTCCAATGTGACTTTTCATGGCAATAGAAGCATTCAACCTCTTTTGGGTCAGAAGAAGGAGTGATGAAACCTTTCTTGGTTCCACTTGAAGAAGATCCATCAAGGGTCCTAACATTGGTACCCTTCAAAGAACTCTTTCTCTTCTTCCCTCGTCCTTTCCCGATTGCCAGGACAGGGGCGGAGT